TAAAAAAACCAACCCTCCCCCCCCATTATTTTTATTTTTTACAGGGTAGTGGGAGGAGTCAGCAGATGAGTGGCTTGGAAGAAATACAACAGTCATTAAGGAATTATGGAGTAACACTGAATATTGAATTTTCATCTTCAATACACGACCGAGAAATCAGGTGCAGGTTTTAAAAAATGTGCAAATGCCAGTTATTAGAAGTCAAACTACTTAACCCTAACTTTTGAGACAACTATTAATTACAGCTGTGGTTAACAAAGTAGAAGGCAGTGGCCCTCACTGGATAAAATCAGCCTCCATAGTTTCATGTTGTTTAATTGTGAACGTAATATTAGTTGTCTCTTTATACAGAATAGTGTCTTCTGTGGATGACACAGGTATTGTTGACACTAGGAAATACTTGTGATTGAAACAAGGAGCTTGTGCATCATGCAGATGTAACTATTTTTTTAATTCAGCATACTCATAGTGTTCAAATTTGTGAATTTTTAAAACAGATTCAACAATGGATGGATGATTAAGATTGGAAGGGGTCTTGATTATTTTAAGAAACCACAGGTAAAAATGCTTTGACCTCTTTAATTAACTTAGAATGAGCTCTTCTACAGTATCTACTCACCATGTCAATTCTGTTAATTTCTGCAGGGTCGTTTCAGCATTGGATACTGTGACTTTGACTTGCGACCTTGTCACGAAACAACAGTGGATGTCTTTCACACTAAACACACAAAGAAAATGTAGTCAGATATGACTGCTTTTAATAAGTGTATTCAGAAGCATAAAAATATAGGACGGGAAGATGTCGCTTGAGTCCAGCTGCCCACCCTCAGAAGCAACTCTTCCAAGTACTTAGAGCAGCATTGCTTCTATAATCTATAGTTTTAAGAGTACTTGAGGCTTTTGAGTCTAAGAAAACACAACTGTAAATTCCTTCACTTTACTTCTTCTGTAATCTCAATTAATACAATCCATGTCTAAATTTTATCTTGATTGCATAACAGACCCTCAATATTGTCTTTTAAAAGCCTCTTTACTGTAATTTCTATTTTTACTACTGATTTTGTCTTGAGGCAATTTTGGGGTTTATATCTGTAACTGACCACCTCACAAACATTGGAAGCTGGGCTGCCACATATCCTCTTTTATAAGCAGTCTTATTTACTTATTTACTTATTTACTTCCTTTAATTCCTGTATTCTAGTCATGACTACTATTCTGCTGGGTTTTAGTCAATCTTGTAATACCTTATTTCACAGACTTTACTAGTAACCCCAAATTTAACATTCCATTTTCCAACCCTCTTGCCTACAAAAGTTTTAGTGTCCAGTATACAGTCATTTTTAGGGTTGCCTTTTGTGTCTCTGCATGATGGATTTTGGACTAGGAAGGCTGCAAACAGCTATATTGTCTTCCCTGTCACTCCCATATGTACTTTTATTCCATGATGTATGGTCATATACCTGATTTCCATCCTTTGCATTAGGTGTGGAAAGGATATGTGATCCTCTCCCAGTCTTATTCTCTGACTTCAAAGTCCAACGACTGGCTACTCATGCCAGTCTCAACTGCATTTTTCCCTACTACTACGGTAGTCCCCTAAAAAAACCCAAATTTATTTTTAAGCTCTTTCAAAAGTTGGATAGCCTGAATAGCTCAGTTGGTCAGAGCATGGTGTTAATAACACACTGTGGGTTCAATCCCCATACAGGCTGCTCACTTTAGAGTTGGACTTGCTGATCCTTGTGGGTCCCATCCAAGTCAGAATATTCTGGGATTCTAAGGAATATGCTATTTGGAGTAAAGACAAAGTCTTTCCTTGACATTCCTTCATCCTTTGGAAACCAGAAGGTATTACCTGAGCTGCTTTTTCTTCTTTAACAAGAGTTCTTCCTTAGCAAGAATCCACCAAAGTCATGTGTTCTGACATGAAAAACAGGCAGTGGCCTCTTTTGCAGGTCCCATCAAAATCTTTTCAGCCTCAGGACTAATAGGTGCCTTATGCTTTCTGCTCCTGTAATGCAGTAGGCCTCTGTATTCTAGTAGCATGTTTATAGATGTATTCCATTATACTTTTTTTTATGTTAATGTGCTTTGTTATTTTATTTTCTGTCATCTTATGCTGCTATTCTTTTCCTCTTGCCTATAACAACAAATCTGTTCCACAGAAATCAAGAAGAAATGGAGCTGGTCTCTACCTTATTTTCTGGGTCACAATTTGCCAGTGGTTTGCCTTCTTTACCCTTTCTCATAGTAATCTCTCGGCTTTGGAATGTTACATCAGCAAAATGAATAATATATGTGCCACAGAGCTGTGTGCTACTAGTTGTTCCCCCAAACATTCCATAGAAGCTCCCTGGCTTGCTGCTGTGATACTAGTTTTCTAGTCACTGTTGTGAATTTTATTCAGTTGTGTATAATATATGCCTATTTTTAATGGGAATAAAGAATATTTTTTATTATTTGTAGTTTTAGCCATCTGTTTGACTTCTTCACTGCATAGGGTAATTCAGGGAAGCTGGGTAATGCCTCAAGGATCCAGCCATATTTGGGAGAAGGCTCACTGTAAATAGAGTAAACTTCCCAAATGTGAAGCTTTCTGTCTTTTAACCTAGTTCAGCAATTTCAGACAGAAACAAAATAAAGGGCTTTTTCTTCTAATAATTCACTAGCTAAGACCACGGCTTTCCTTGCAGATCCCATGGATATGCAGTATCTGTACATATGTACAAGTAAGCCTTTAGTGACCTACCACTTGGTGCTGCACTGAAATTTGTATTTATAAGCCCTTTATCTCTGAACAGTTCCTTGTGCTGTCAGTAGGAACTCCATCTATGAAGAGCAGTGGGCATCAAGGAATAGAAAAAAACAACAAGCTATCAGAGAAATCTGAGAGTACAGTTCTGCAATCATTGACTCCAAGCCACATTCTTCTGTGTTGCTGCTCACACGGATGCAGTCAGGTCATCACCTGGATTATGCAGCCACAACTGTCCCTCCTGGCATCATCTGTGGAGATGAGCTTAAGCCACCTTCCCTCCTGGACTCAGCCCTACAGTCAGTCCCAGCTGAGGGCTGGATTCACCTGCACTGACTGTACTCCTTAACTAAAGGTAGGTCACTTCTGATATGTAATTTCCTCCTCATGAGAGCTGGTCAACCACTCATCTTTTTAAGATGCCAGCAGTGTAGAAATAACATAGCAATATCTTATAGGCCTTTGCAGGCATCACTTTTTAAGTATTTGCCGCTGTCTCATCTGGGCATCATTATTTAATTAACTGCTGCTGTTCTGACCTGACCAAAATTGCATTCCAGTTACTCTGTGACAGCATGCAGTGCTGTGACTTCGATTCACATGTTCTGCTTGGCCTGGGAGGACTGTAGACTGATCCCTGCTGAAACCCCCCTGGTGCCACTTAGAAAGGTAAGGGACATTTTAAAGTCCTTACTGGAGGTTCAGCTGAGGATTTTCTATATGGACAACAAGGACACTGGAAATCAGAATGTCCTTACAGACCTACCTGTAAGCCTTCTGAGTCTTTGTCCAATAGTTATGCTAACTTTTCATCCAACTTTCCCTTCATGGCACGGGCTTGGAAATGTGATTAGGACAGCCCCAAGAACATAAACATCACTGCTTCTTTACTTTCTTGAGGCCAGACTGATCTTTATTTATCTTGCCCTATTAACAGCAAAACTGTTTCTTGCCTAATTGATACTGGCATTTCTCAATCGATTTTATATCCACCTCTGTTTTTCCTGCAGTTTCCTTATATACAGAAGTAGTAAACCGTATTGGTATTTCAGGGCAACACATAAGTCATCTAGTAACAAGCTCTTTGTAACTATCTGTCTCATTTCTGGATACCATGGTTTTATTTTAATTCCTACCAGTCTGGTTAACCTTCTGGGAAAAGACTTAGGTAAATTGGGTTGTGCTTATATATTGTGCTGAATGGAATTTACCTTGATGTGCTCACACCTTGATAGGGTGAATTTATAGCTTTTTTTGCTTGATGAACCTCCCACTTCAAATTTAACTGACTCTACTATGCAACAGCAGCTTGGTGAAGAAAGAGCTGTGTAATATAAAGGTACATAAACTCTGTAACTACCTCATTTGGAGACTTCACATCAGTGGAGTCTGTCACTGCTACACTGGGTTCTCTCCTACAGCTGTAGCAATCATAGAATCATAGAATAGATTGGGTTGGAAAAGACCTCCAAGATCATCGAGTCCAACCCCTGATCCAACTCCAATTACTATATCATGGCACTAAGGGCCACATCCAATCTCTGTTTAAAAACCTCCAGGGATGGTGAATCCACCACCTCTCTGGGTAGGCCATTCCAATGCCTGATTACCCTCTCTGTAAAGAATTTCTTCCTAACATCTAACCTAAACCTCCCCTGGCAGAGCTTGAGCCCATGTCCCCTTGTCCTATTGTTGGTTGTCTGGGATAAACTGCTTCTGTTCTGACCTAATCAAAATTGCATTCTGCTTATTCACAACAACAGTGAAATATATCTCGAGCCTTTCTTTCATAATTTTACTTTATATTGAACTATTACTTAACATTAAAATTGTCATTTCCAGTTCACTATTGTATTTTACTAGAAAATTTTCTCCTAGCTTGTAACATAAGGAACCTGTTTCTCCCAGGTCTGTGTTTGCAACTGTATCTCCTAAAGTTTAGCTTAGATACTAGTACCCGTGCCAGTAGGGACTCCCAGCTTTGTGCCAGGCAGTGCAAGAACAAAGGAGGCACAGGTGGCCTCTGTCCCAGTTAAGGCTTTCCTGCCCTCATCACACAACCCCCCACACTGAATTTCCTAATCCTTTGCCCGCTCTTGCACACGCATGGACAAAAAAGCCCTGATCCAGGGTGGAACTGTCAAAGTGATTCATTACCCAGCAATGAGTTCAGCATACTACCACGATTGTACAGTGGAGGCACAGGGGCACCAGCATTCTGCAAGAAAGGACTTTCAACCAGAAACCAGGGGACATCCCTCTCTACACAGTTCAGGGGCTGAGACACAGCCTTTGGACTACTATCCCCAAGGAACAGGGTGCAGGCTGGGGTATCCAATGCAGCAGCACAGCACCAGTTTTCACCTACCCCATCCCATCTCTGTCAGCCATGGGCTACAGGGCCAATTTGGGATGCCCCCACCATTTTCTCTGGTTTAAGCAGCAGTGATGTCTTGTCAGCAGTGACTTACATCCTACGGTTTGGGAACACTGGGTGAGGCAGTGTGACATTTAATTGTAATATTAAACAAAAGCACAAGATTGAACAGTTTGACCAGTAAGAGAAAAATTCAGCTTGCAGAAATTGTTTTAATTTTGTTTTCAACTTAAATTTTTGAAATGCAAGTCACATTAGCATTATCATATTCTCACATAGCAGATTCCACCTGCTGTGCAACTCATCATCTTGTGGACACACTCTTAGCAATGTTGTTGCTAGCGTTGTGGTTTCGTTTGGGCAAAACTTACTGCCGGTAAGGCTCCTGACCAGTTCACTGTACAGTGCTGGTGGCAGCCACTGCTCCGGCAGATCGATGTTACAGACTTCAATCCTTCCATGCTTTACATCCATATTTACTTTAACGTCAAGAACAGAATCTTTATAGGCCATGTTAAGACACGTGCTAATGCTGAACTTTGGTGTCTTTCCGTACACCCACTCCCAGGTTTGTAGTTCTTTAGTTTTATTACTAATTCCAGGAAGCAGAGTCTCATCAGCTGGGTTTATTAAGGTGATATGATGATCTATTTGGTGCTGTGTAGAATATTCCTTAGCAATGGCATCCAGGAGCATCTCAGAAGTTAAAGTAGGATCCTCTTCAAAGAGATTTTTCACCGAGGCAGGCACACTAGGAGTGGCATTGCTCTTTAGCCCTTTATAAGGACTTTTTAGCACAGAAGATAAAACAAATTTATCTGCATTACAGAGTAAGGTACAGTGGTGGTAAGCACTTTTCCCTCCCAGCTTTGCAGCAGTACCTGAGATTTTGTAGTGCCTATCTAGCAAGATGTCATATCTGTCAGTGACATGTATGTCTAACTGGGGGCGCAAGGCTTTCAGTGCCTTCACAACCAGTTTCAGGTTTTCCATTCGCTCGTATTTTTTTCTGGTTGTGAAGAAAGTCAAATTGATATTACCTAGGTCATGGTAAACCGTGCCTCCTCCACTTCTTCTTCTGGCTAGTTTTATATTTTTTTGCCTCAGCAGCCTGAGGTTGCATTCCTGCCAGGGATTCTGATGTCTCCCTATTACCACAGCAGGGGAATTTCTCCAAAGGAAAAGGACCTGTCGCTTCTCTAAATCCATGTGGTCGTGGATCCAGTCTTCAACAGCTAGATTTTGGTAAACGTCATTAGAAACAGACTGGATAATGAGGGCTCCTCGAGCTGTGTTCCTGAAGCCAGCTTTTGGAGTCCTGAGGATGCAGGACAGCCGAAGGCAGTTCTTTAACGATGGCTGGAGTACCATGTTTTTAATAACTGGACAGCGGATGGAAGGAATTCCCACTCTGCTAAAGCTGGATGCGGCAGAAATGAAATGCTAGAGGCAGGCATGACGCAGTCACGCTCTTCCCACGGCAGCACGCCAGTTCCAAGGCATGGTGCTCCTCCAGGTGATGCCGCTCAAGCCCTGTCGGGAGCTTCCCGTAAACATCCGGGGGTGTAAGAGTAGCTGCTCCTCGCAGTCCCTGGTGCCTAAAAGACCAAAGGAAGAAACAGAATGTGTATTTTTCCCCTCACTCAACAGAGCCTTCCTAATACGGTTTTACCTCGCCTAGTCTAGCTTTGTAAGGGGTTTTTGGCTTTTTTTCCACGGGGTTCCTGGCGCGGTGTCCCTGTGCCCCCCGCCCGCCGCCACCGCCCCCGCGTCACTCACGGCGGGGAGCGCCGTCCCTGCCCCGGCGGACTCCCTGGAGCTGGCGGCGTCCTTGGAGCCGGCGGCCTCCGGAGCGCCTTCCGCTTCCCGGGTGAGAGGTGCTGGGGGCGGGCGCTGCCCCGCCGCGGAGCAGGGGAGGGGATGGGGGCGGAGAGCAGGGAGCGGGCTCCAGCTGCTCGGGGATTGCCGATGTCCCGCCTGTCCCAGCGTAGCCCTGGCTCTGTGCAGCGGGAGGGAGCTGGGACAAAGCCAGAATGATCGGGTCACAAAATCACTGAATGGGAAAGGTTGGAAGGGACCGCACTGGGTCACCTGGACCAACCTCCCTGCTCAGGCAGGGTCATGCTAGAGCACATGACACAGGATTGTGCCCATACGGGTCTGAATATCCGAGCGAGGGAGACTCCACAACCTCTCCGGGCAATCTGTTTCAGTGCACAGTCACCCGCACAGTAAAGTTCTTCCCCATATTCAAGTGGAACTTCCTATGCATCAGTTTCTGCCTGTTACCTCTTGTCCTATTGCGGGGCACCCCCAGCAATAGAGCCTGGCTCCACCCTCTTGACACCCTCCCTTCAGATACTTACAGTATAGTACTTACAGGGTCATGCCAACAAGAGGTCAATGCACAGCGGATAAAATAGATGATTCTTCTTGAAGACCAAGCTGCACAGTTTCTTGCCACGGGTTGTGGATGCTAGAAGCTTTCATGGGTTCACAAAGAGACTGAAGGGGTTAACACAAGTGCACAGAGGCTTGTGAAATACACAGAAACTCTCCACGGGACTTGGGAAGATAGGGAAACCAAATGTTGACAGCATAATTCATTAACAAGCTGGAAGTGATCAAAAACTGTGACTGTAGAGGTATATCATGCAGCAGGTTGTCTCCAGATTTGCATTGGTTTAAGCCTTTCTTAAAGTCTACCACACATAACTATCAAGAGCTCTTGTCTGTATTTAAGCTTACACTGTGTGACAATGTTCAATGCTAGCTGAAATGTTTTACCTGCAGTAGTATCCCTATGAGCAAATATGTGTTGTACATCTCTTTCTGATGTATGTGTATTCATGAAGGATACGTTGCGTGCTTTTGTCTTCCATTCTGCATTAATATAGGAGTACCAAGACATGAAGGAATTGTAGAGAAAAAGATTGGTACAGTGGGTTGTGAGAATTCACATAGGCTCTCCCTCTTGATCAGGTAGTTAGGGCTAAGTAATTTTTCTTCTCTCTAGTTCTAGGAACAGGTGGCTTTCAAAGAAATGCCAAGTTGATATTCTTATTCTAGTGAAACAGTGAGATTACTTGAGGAAGCAGTTTGGCTTTGGGTGTGTAATTGGGTGTTCATATATTTGCTTTTCCAGTAAAGAAAACTGTTTATAATGTGACCTGAATTGCCTTAACTTTCTAGCTGAAGAAACAGTATCCAGAACAGCTATATTCCCTGAAAGGTGAAAGAGAAAAGAAGGTGGATAAGGATGAGAGACTTCCAAGATTAAAAACATAAGCTTGGGGTTATATCCTACTGAAGAACTGATTAATTAAGAGAATGACAGTTCCTTACTAAACCCTTAAAAGAGCTGTGTGGGCGTAGTAGGGTAAGGTAAGAAACCATCACCACATGGGTGCTGGTTGGTGATTAGTGGGAGAAACAGACTCTAAAAGAACCTTGATGTGATGTGTGTCCCAGCACTTGGAACGTTGTATTGTCATATTAAAAAAAAAAAAAACAACAAAACACACACACACAAAGTTGTGAATTGTTTTAAGTGATTTGAAATAGACATAACTTTTTGCTAAATTAGACTGGTGATAACTTTTCACTGGGGCGAGCTATTCAGTAATGCACAAGCTAAAAGGCATGTGTACTTTTGAATACTGGAAAATCAACTTTGGATATGGTTGGCAAAATGCAAAAGTGAACCTGTGCACTGTAACGCTGGTCAGAGGTAGGGAAATACTTCTTGTGAGACTTCTGATGTTATTAAAACTCAAACAAAATATGGGACCATTTGTTTCCATTTCAGCAGTTGATTCTTGGAAATTTGCAATGTGTCATTTTGCCACAGGGTGCCACTAAAAACCTACTTTGAGCTGTTACACTCTTTATCTTTCTAGTTAAAAAATGTTTCCATAGTTAGAAGCACAGTGTGCTTAAAAAAAGTGTGCAGAATACTGGATGGACAGGTAAAAATGTCATGGATCTGTTTCTGATATGCTGAAGGATAAAATACACATGCAACAATAAACACCTTTCCTGAAAAGTGGCTACTGTTGAAGACAAACCCAGCAAGATGATTGGAAATATTCTGACAATAAGCAAAAAGTATGAATTTAGAAATGCACACCATGATCTATTTATCTCCTCTGGATTGGAATTTTAAGTACATTTTTTATGTCTCAACAACTAATGTATAAATCACATCAGCAAAATACAGTGGTTGTTATTTTTGCTTTTGAAAACACTCCTGTGTATGAATTTCATTTCTCCTTTGATCAACAAAGTGTTGTTTGGTATACAAAAAGCAAAGTAACTGCTCTGCACAACATTAACCAGCATTAACATGTAAGAGAGAACTCACCATTTGTCTCTTAGAGGGTACCTTAGATATACCAGAGCAAAACTAATTAAAAATGTCAATTTCACTCCTAAAATGAACTTTCATAAAGAATAATTTTTTATTCTTCATAATAAAAATCTTATTATTATTCTTCATAATTAAAGTTATGAAAACCTGAAATGCTCTTTTTACATCTCTTTTTGAGATAAACATGATAATGCAGAGCCTCTGATGATTTCCACCATACCAAAATCTGAAAGAAAGACTTATAATAAATCCAGGATGGGGGGAGGATAAGAAAGAAACTTGTTTCTCTTGCTCTTTTTCTGGAAGTTAAAATCTTCCAATTTCTTCTCTTTGGGTGGGGATTGTATTTCAGAGGTGTTGCTCACACCTAATATCTGAAAAGGTGAGCTCTATTCATGAGTGCTTTATAGTGGTTGCTTGCCAAGAAAAACCCATCATTCACCTGGCACTGTCTGCAGAATATAAAACTCTGCTAGTGGCTAACAAGGAAGAGAGTGCATTTCATCTGATTTCTCAGCTTGACTTTGTGACTACCTAAAGCAACCTTTTTCAAAGACTCTTTATATCCATGCCCGGCAGAAGCAGGCAATAGGAGCCAGAGGACTCACATGGCCCCCTTACCCTTTTCACATCACTTTCTTCAAAGGCACCAATCTTCCTGTCCCTGCCTGTGCCATTCCAAGAAGAGATATGCAGCTAGAGGTACTGTAAATAAGAACTGCCGTTTTGGACATAAGAAGGTGTAAGAAGTAGTTTCTCTCATATGATTTTGTTGCTGGAATAAAGAAAAGTGTAATTAGCCTTGTAATACCATGACATTTTAACTTTACAATGTCTGTAAACCAGTTAATACATCAATCCTGGCATTAAAAATCAGGAATGAGTTCAGACTGGTGTTTAATCACACGTGTGAAGCTAATGCTTGACACTGTCAAGAAACAAGTGTGATGTTAAGGGTGATGTTTCTTCTGGACGATACAACTGGCACATAATGTTACAAACACATAAGCAAATTAGATGGGGTTTGGATAGAGGATAAGGTTTAATTAAAAGAAGGCTATTTTCACAAGATTTTATCAGTCTTATCTAACACTTGTTTTGTTCTTGTCAAGCCAGAGAGATTGTATTGCAATTGCTGGAGTTTTCATCTGTAAAAGTGTCTCCTTGGATATTAGTTTCTGAAAGAGATGAACCTAATTAGAGCAGAGGTGTTCAGCTGAGCTCCCTGAGCTCACTGTCAGTCCCAGCTGATCAGCTGTGGCAGTTTCAGAATACCCATCTCTCTCCTGGGGCTGGGCTGACGAAACTTGGCTGCTTGGCTTTGTCTCTGAAGTCTTCTGACCTGTGAGCATTGCTTGCGTTGCCTTTCCCTGCCTTTCTCTGAGGCTTTCAGATTAATCACAGATGAGGCCTGTGCCACATGTGTGCAGATGGGCCTTGGGAGGTTTGAGTTAAAGGTGCTCTGAAACCGAAGAATTCCACTCAAACCAACCATGGGAGGTGGTATTGCCAGAGAATGCCAATTTATTATGCTCACCCACCTCCCTGTTTCCATCCCCAAATAGCTATGAAGAATTGAACTATTATTGCAGAAAGTCATCTTTTTATTTGTTGAGGTGTGGAGAGAATGTTGTGTCACTTGAGGAGAACCTTGGCTTAACTCCCTCCCCTAACAAAGAAGCCATTCAAAAAGGTATAGCAGCAACTGATCACTCAGTATTCATTTGTACTTTAAACCAAAAAGAAATATGAACACCTTTTCTTGACTTTAGTTATGTTTATTGAGGAACTGTGCTCTAAGTCATAAACCCGATACTGAAAGTTGAATTTTCATAGATAAGAGTTATTCAAAAACCTCCTAAGATGAAACCAAGTAGAAAAATAATTAAAATTTCTTTGAAGACAGTGTTCATAAATATTTATGTAAGAATTAATGGGGAAAATGGGTTTACTGGTAACTTTGTACAATATTTTACAATGCATCTTTTTTAAAATATTTTTTAGGATTATTTCTAACGTCTGATTTTGTTTTGCCTCTAGAATTTCAATCATATACACCTGTAGGGACAACAAGGATTATGATAATCTTTGAAAACAAGATTTAAGAGCATAAAGGTGCTGAGACTGCACGCTCACTGCACAGAGCTGTTTAGGTAAGCTGTTGTGCTGGTACTGTACCAGAAGTTGGTATGGTCATCACAGCTCCTTGGCTTCTGTCCCATAGAACACCTGGCTCAATGAAAACAGTCATGGATGGGTCAGAAGAAAACTTAAGGACCACTTAGTTCCAACCCCTGGCCATGGGCAGCGACACTTTCCACTAGACCAGGTTGCTCAGAGCTCCATCCAACCTGGTCTTGAACACTTCCAGGGATGGGGAGTCCACAGCCTCTCCAGGCAACCTGTTCCAAGTGTCTCACCACCCTCACAGTCAAGAATTTCTTCCTAATATCTAATCTAAACGTGTTCTCTTTCAGTTTAAGGTCATTCCCTCTTGTCCTGTCACTACACGCAGTTGTGAAAAGTCCCTCCTCAGCTCTCTTGTCGGACACCTTTAGGTACTGGAAGGAGAGAAGGAGGCGGGTGTTGGGGTGGGAGCGGGCGCGGCGGTGAGTGAGTGCTTGGGGCCACAGGTGAGTGCCTTACCTGCCCACAGCATCACCATGAGCAGCTCCCCGGGGGCCGGAGGGCGATAGCGGAGAGCCGCGTCAAGGCAGCGACCGGCGGCACTCGGCCCGGCGCCCCGGCCGGGGGTGTGCGGAGGGAGGCTCCGGGCTTTGCGGGGGCTGCTGGTGCCCTGTGCGCGGCGGAAAACAAGGAGGAAAGGAGCATCTGAAGTGCTCCTGATGGGGAGTTGAATCCTAGTTGTGAGGGGCTTGGGTTGGTTAAAGCCTAACCACTTTATGGCAAGCATAAATAATGGTTATTGTAGAATATGTAAATATTACCTTTTTTTTTTTTTTTTTCTGCTATAAGTTGGGTATAAGTAGTACTGTGAGTGAGAATATGTATTCTGTGCGTAAATTTGAGTCCTTGGTGCTCAGTGAAGTGCTGAAGGTACTGATAGCTTGACCGCTCTGATCCGTTCCCTAGGACTAGGGCAATGTATATAATTGGAGAACTTGAGAGTGCCTCTATCAGAGAGCAGAATATTAGGATGGGATTCATCTAATCATTCACCACATCATTTGATGTGTCAACACTGACGATGACTGTAATAGACATCTAGGCTGTCTTTATTGTCAGAGGTACTCATAGGGCATGATGAATTTTTGTATGAATGCCAAAAATTGATTATAGAAATCACTTTCTAGAAATTACTTTGTGTAGAGACCCAAAATCAAGTCAGCTTACACCTAAACAAACAGGATTTGATATGCAATTTAGAATTTCGGAATTGCAGTTCATCTTCAGAATCTGTTTTAGGCCCCTAGGTGACTGTCTGGATTTCAACAATATTTATTTGCACATTACTTTATTTCCATTGCAAAAATTCACCTTTCACGGATCTTAAACAAGCATAGTGTCCTACTTTCTTTCATATTTAAAAATTCATTAGATATTCCGGTACAAATCTACTTGTTTTGAACAGATGTATTTCAAGTTCATTAACATTTAGCTTTCATGTCCTTTTCTTTCCTGTCAGATCCCTTTTAGAAAGACCTTCAGACATATTCTGTAATATAACAAAAAAGAGAAAAAACAGATGCAGAAGTTACTTTAAAATATTATATGGATATTTATTTTAATTAGATATCTGCTTCATCTTCATTTTGAAGAGTACATTTATCCATTTTACATTGAAGTATCATTAATTACAGAAGTTTAAGTGAATGCATTCTCTCATTTATGCTCGTGCAGGTTATTTTACAAACAGAATCTGAAATAAAGCAAGGGAAGTCACCCTCAAGGCTTGATACCTTTATTAAGTCATTGGAAGAGAACAGAGACTACTAGAAATGTGAGACTGAGAATTTGTTGAAGGTATTAAGAAACACATCTTCAAGTCCTAAGCAAACCTCTTTTTGTGACCATATGTAAATAAAAAAAATCTCAGCCATCCAAGTGAGCTTGGGAAACCACTTTGGAAGAAGAGGAATGTATTTTTTAGAGTGTCAGTTTATCTTATGTTAAACTACCAAAGCTATAATCACCAGGAAGAAAACCTAATTGATTGTAAACAGAAGGATGCATAGGACTGGAATGGGCCAATAGTGTGAACTTAACTGCTGCTTTATTCTGCATGCATGTATGTCACTTTAAATGGTAACTGACAAATGTTTATATATTAAGTAATTATTAACATGCTTGTCAGTACCATTTATGATTGATAGACATTTACTGCTCAAGATAAACGTGTATTTTAGAAAATGGTATGTATATCTGTTCTCTTATATTGAGAAACATATACATTAGTCTTGGCTATCTAGAAGTTATCAGGTTGAAGACTGATTTTTCATAAAATTTTCTAAACCAGATATAATAAGAAACTTTTTAAAGTTTTGCTTCTCTCCTTTAACCTTATATCACCTTATTCTTTAAGGGAGTGAGTTTTGATCCAGAAGTTTTTAAAATATTGAGAGAACGTGAAGAACTTACATCAAAGCCGAAAAAATATGAGCATCATGTGGCAGAAATTCTGAGTAACTTGAAGTTTTAACAGCTGAGAGAGGCAAAATTGTCAATCTTTATGAACAGGTCATTTTATTTATATTTGTATGATTAATTGAAATAACAAGGAGATGTGCAAGAAAAAATTCTACTTTTAGTTTAGTATGAAAAAGGAAAAAATGCAAAGTACTTGTTTAAAAAACAGCAAAAAAAAGTTATGGAAATTCTGTGATTTAAATCTGTCAGTTTAATACAAGTTTGTAAGTGTTGTCCTGAGTTAAGAATGCTTTTCTGAATCAAAGAATATATGCACAAATAAATACTTCATCTTTGATATTACTCAGTTTCTGGGATGCTCTGCATTACCAACTGCAGGCTATGGTAACACACTACATTATTTATTCCATGTTTCTGTTATGTTGCTGTTTTTAAAAACAGGCACAGGAGGAGATTTCCTGGCTCCTTCAGGAAGTTATAAAACGCCCCAGGACTCCTAAAAGCACTGCAGCAACTCAAGCTATGTTAAGGTGCGTGGAGATAGAAAGGGATACAGCACTGTCAGATTTCCAAAGGATGACTGCAAAACGTGATAGCCTCAGGGAGCAGTTAAAGGTTTGATTCTGTCCCATTCTATCCCACCCCCCAGCCCCCCACCAGGTTATTTATACATGAAAACTACTTAGTAGTGTAATTAAAGTTGCTTAAGATTTCTATTGTGATCCTGAGCATCAACTGCTTTACAAGTCTGTGGTGAGTTGAAACTTGTTCCATATGTGATTTGTTACTGTTATTTGATACAAATTTCCCAAGAAACTGCGTTTAATCAAAAGGCTCATTTAAAACAGAGAATTGAAGAGCTTGAAACTACCATTCATAATGTAAGGGAAAATAATTATTTGTAGAATTGTAAATGTAATACAGCTGATGCTCATGGTTAATCCTGCAGGACCGACCTAATTGTTTTCTATTGGAAAGCAACAGGTTGAGAGCAGTGGATGTTATTTACAAAGACTATTCCCCTCTACTCCACTCTGGTGAGACCCCACCTGGAGTACTGTGTCCAGCTCTGGGGCCCCTAACATAAGAAGGACACGGACCTGTTAGAATAAGTCCCAAAGAGGGACTCCAAGTTGATCATAGGGCACAGAGACAGGCTGAGAGAGTTGGGGTTGTTCAGCCTGGAGAAGAGAAGGATCTGGAGAAACGTTATAGCACCTTCCAGTACCTAAAGGTGGCCATCAAGAGAGATGGGGAGGGACTTTATACAGGGGCATGTGGTGATAGGACAAGGGGGAATGACCTAAAACTGAAGGAGAGCAGGTTTAGATTAGATAAAAGGAAGAAATTCTTGACTGTGAGGGTGGTGAGGCACTGAACAGTTGACCAGAGGACTCCCCATCCTTGGAAGTGTTTGAGACCAGGTTGGATGGAGCTCTGAGCAACCGGGTCTAGTGGAAAGTGTCCCTGCCCAGGGCAGGGTGGTTGGAACTAGATGGTCTTTAAGGTCCATTCCAACCCAAACTGTTCTGTAATTCTATGGGTTTAAGACTGTACCAAGTCTTTTGACACTGTTACCCACAGTGTTCTTGTATCCAGGTTAGGATGGGCTTGTTCCACCTGGAGTAGAAATGGCGTAAGAGAGACCTAAGTCCTACCTGCCAGTACGCATCAAGAAGTCATAAACAAGCTTTCTACAGCAGTGCATGGTGGAAGAATAATAGATATTGGTTGAAATGAAAAGGGTTCGGGCTGAATACAAGGAAATACTTCTTTCTCATGTGGGCAGCAATCCCCAGCCTTGAAGATTTTCAAGGCTGGACTGGGCAAAGCCCTGAGCAGTCTGACCTCAAAGTTGGCCTTGCTTTAACCAGAAGTTAAAACTAGAGACCAGGAGTCCATATCAGTGTGAATTATCTTATAATTGTGTATTACTAGGACCTGATGCTTCAAAACCAAATGTAATTGCACTGTTCTGGCAAATCCTATTTAATATGGTTTAAATTAATTGCTTGCTAATGTATGGCACTAAAATAGAAAATGAAAGCATTAATAAAATTAATGTAAATGTTAAATTTATTTATAGTCTTTGAAAAATTTGTTTTTTAAACACATTGACATTGATTTCTGTAGCGTATCTTTCTTCTAGATTTTGTGGTTATAAATTTTGGTTCATTTTCTTTTTCCCCCTCAGCCTTCTAAATCCTACCAAGCTTATAAATATAATACCAAGGTTTATAATACTAAATTGAGTGCATCTGATGTGAAGAATCGCTCTGAGTAGTAAATTAACTTTAATCACATGCCTACATATGTGTAGGGAATATTGGGAGCCTTGTTTTAGGTACATCTTATTTCCTCAGTTCTTTCGGTACCCTTTAAGGGCGATACAATCAACATGAAATTTATGGCACTAGTACTGAAAAAGTTACTGTGTACCAGATGCTTCCTGACTTGCTCTTTTGAAATCTGACCTTTGATTACAGTAACACAGAAATTAGTATTGAAAGAATCAGTGAATGAGGAGAGAGACGAGGTGAGAATATTTGTACTTTAAAAGAGCTGTTTCAAATAATTTAGAAAGGACAGTCCTTTGAATGTTAAGTGTAAGCATTTTGATAAAAATATGCATCTTTCTTTAAACTGGAGATTTCAAACTAGCTTTGCTGGAGTTTGTGCATGAGGTTTTAGGCCTGTTCTTTGTTCTAGCTACAGACCTGAGGGCTTCATGGTGATAACTGGTTACATAGTGCTTTATACAAGTGTTTTACAATGATTTCTCTACCCCATTAGTGGCATAGGTGTGTAACTTAGTAGAGGCCTAAAGCCATCATTTGTTGTGTTGTATCCCAAACTGGGATTTCTCCCTTCGTACACCCATAATAATGCTTTCCCTTATGTTATTTTGCACTGAAAACTTTTAATGTTGATCAATGACAAACATTTTCGCCCTTAGGCATAATCACCACCAGAAAATTTACACGAATAAATGAAAATATTCCTAGAGATCTGAAAGACAGGAAATTGATTTACCTTCAAAAGAAGTGAAAGTCACATTTCAGCTCTTTGTCAACTGTCTTCAATAGGCTTGTAGTCAGGCCTTGAGCAAATGAAATACTTGGACATGTCTTCCTCAGGAAAAGCTTTGTGCTAAAAACAGAGTAAAAATTAAAATAATATAAATTATATATATAAAGCAGGCCTTTTTTTCAGCTTTTAATGTTTGATTATATTTACAGTTAAATAGTGAATGGTTAGAATAGATGTCCAAAGTGGCACTAGTGAAAGACACCACTGATTCTCTGGAAACAGATGAAAAGATTGACAAAAAAAGTACTTGCCTCTGAAACTGAGCTGAGTTTGGCAGAATATCTTTCTCTTAGGTAACTAAAGGTATAAAATTACATTAATTTGACTGGTAACATCAGCCTATGTTCATTGGTTTTCATAACTGTAACATAGCTCAAAGGGAAAGGAATTTACAAAAGCTGCTTATCTTTCTTTTCAGACTGAAATTGTTTTCCTCATTGCTTATTTATATGCAAATGTTTTTTTCTTCTTGATATGATGATATGCTGGAAACCACCTTCAGTGAAAAACTAAAATTCACTTTGACTTAGAGCTAGGAGCTTTTTATTAGAAACTTCAGGGAATGATTTTTTTGGTAAATTGCATATGAATAATTTTGCTCTCTTGGTTTTAATATTTGTTTTTATAAAAGGGGGCAAACATGCATAAAATAATGAATGTCAGGTGTCATTAGTTTAGGTGCCATTATCCATGTCTTAGTCTTGGAGCCTTTTTGTGAGAGAAACTGAAACACTTTGCATAGAGTTTATGGCCTGCTGCTCAACTGGATCTCCTCACCATTTTCAGAAGCATGTAGTAGGACTAGACTCAATGAAAGCCCTTAGAGAATAAAGCACAGGTCAATGAGTGCAAGATAAAAACCAATAATTTCCTGACTGGAAGAAAAGATCAATCGAATGTGGAGTTTGTGCAGAGAGATATGAAGGAGTAAATCACAGACTGAACTGGGCTACTGAGTGAACAGGCTGCCAGAGGAAATACTGCAAGTTTTTCCTCTTTTATTTCCTTAATAATAATTCAGTTAGAGAAACACTGTTCTTAACCTGTGTCCTTACAAGTGACTGGTGTAGCTTACACATGGGTGTTGTCGGTTTTTTGTTGGATTTTGAGTAGTGAGAATGCTGGGTATATCACACAATACTGTGCTGACCCACAATACTTCTCTAATGATACTGTGATTTCTAAAATAGCATGAACATCTTTGCAAACCCAGTCCTGAGTTACTACTCCTTTATAATACATTGTCAGATTTATGAATACTGTAAAAATTGAATTGTTGAAAATTAGATGCTGCTACTGAAATATCTTTTTTCTTTCCACCTCCGAACCAGGCTGATAATTCTTTTCATTTTCTTGAACAGTGTGAGAATCATTAATACTACTACATTATTTGACAAATAACTTGGGTCAGGGATTTATGTCCCAAGGGATGATTTCTATTGTAATTATTTTTGTGAAATTTTTACAACCACCTGCTTTAAAGAATTCTTGCTTTTCTGTGATCCTTTAGAGGAGTATTCAGACTTTAATATACAGATATTACAGTTAACAGTAATAAAATACCCCAAATAGTCTAAAAAAGATAGAAGAATCTCACTTTTTCGTATCTTTTGCAATTTTAGTGACATTTCAAAAAGGAAAAAAAATATATCAATGTCTGAATTCTCCTGTTTAATTCTTCTGCTTTTCCAGTTTACTGAAAGAAAAGACAAAACAGACTCTTCCAGAGACTCAGCAAAGCCTCATTAAGAAAAAACATGAAATGAAACTTAGCCAAGAGAAAATTATGCTTTTGGATGAAAAAATTGGTGAGTGACAGATACGATTTTTATAATAAAGTTCAGTAGGCTAATTGTTACATTCTACATTTTTATTCTTCTTTTTTCTCCCTTATGGGTTGAAAGAAAAGGTGTTGAATTCGAATAAGTATACTTTTGACAGTTTTAACATTCTGAGTGCAAAACTTCTGTTTTCTTTCATTATTGGAGGGGATTTGCATTTTAAATTATGCAATAGAGCTCTTGCAAGTAAGTTTCAGTGACAGTACCCACTGACAGCTGAGCAATGTGTTTTGGTACCAGCGTGCAGTGTCTGAGGGTATCAGCTGTACTTATGATCACCTAAGGTAGTGGCAGCACCTCTCAGCACTGTAAGATGATGGTGATGAAAGTCAGAAGAACACCCTTTATGGTATATTATAATATATATCCTGTATTATATGTTGCACCTTGTTTATATCATAGGAGTAAAGGAGATAGATACAGGAATTCCTGTAGTGCCAAGGAGTATGATCTTCCAAAACTACAACTGTAAAATGGTGGTAACACACCCTTACTTAAAATCATGGAGTGGGCAAGGTATGACCTTCCTTCTCAAGCAGGGCCACCTAGAGCCACGTGCCCAGGACCATGACTAGATGGATTTTGAATATTTCTAAGGAAGGAGACTCTGTAACTTCTCTGGGCAACCAGTTCCACTGCTGCGTCACCTCCACAGTAAAAACCAGTGTTTCCTGATTTCCAGAGGGAACCTCCTGTGTTTCAGTTTATGCCCATTGCCTCTTTATCCTGTCACTGGGACCCACTGAAAAGAGCCTGTCTTTGTCCTTTTTGTACCCACTTTTCAGATATGTTTGTAAGATCCCATCCAGAACCTTCTCTTCTCCAAGTCAAACAATCTCAGCTTTTCCTCGTAGGAGAGATCTCTCAATCATCTTAGTGGACTTTCACTGGGCTCTCTGCAACGTGTCCATGTCTCTCTTATACTGGGAAGACCAGAACTGGACCCAGCACTCCAGAAGTGTCTCATCAGAGATGAGTAGAGAGGAAGAATCGCCTATCTCTACCAGCTGCCAATACTTCCATAATGAAGAGCAAGACACCATTTGCCTTCTTTACAACAAGGGCACATTGATGGCTCATGTTCAACATGGTGCCCACCAGGACTCCCAGCTTCCCTGCCAAAGCTGCTTTCCAGACAGTGGGTACTGGTGCCTGGGGCTGTTCCTCTTCAGGTTCAGGAATTCCCTTTGTTGAACCTTCATGAGGTTCCTGTCAACCCATTTCTCCACCTGGTGCAGGTCCCTTTGGATGGCAGCATGACCCTTTGGTGTGTCAGCCTGCATGTTTTTTATAGGATGTAAGGCTCGCTATAAGAGGAGTTTCTGTGATTCTTTTCTGCAAATGTAACGTATGTAGATCAAATAAAGATTGACTCTCTGACCATTTAAAGGTAAATGTAGTGTGTAACACAGTATCAGCTTAATGAAGGTATTCAGAGACATATTATAGAATTTGATTTTGTAGTGAATAGATTTCTTTTTTCATTCTTACATTTTCAAGTGGTGTTGAATTTTATAATTGCATTACTCTTTCTCACTATTACATAAAGGTCATTTAAATAAATTGAATTATTTCTGGAGAAAACTGGGTAATATCAGGATTGCAGTCTCTTACTTCATCAGTCATTACATGTTGTCAATCTATGAATTGCTCCAGTCTATAGTAATTCTGTTTAAGCCTATAGCTTACAATACCCAGGACAGTTATTTTTTTAAAATTATCTAAATATTTGCCCTTTAAGAATAAATTTGCTTTGAGCCAAGTAATTTAAGGCCTTGATCTAAAGAAGAATGCATTTCTATGAATTATTTATATATTTTGAAAAGGTGCATGCTTCAGTGTTTTCTTAAAGGGAAGCTTTTGCCGCCTTCTTTTATGCTATAGAAGTGTATCAAAAGAATTTTTATTTCAAATGGGATTAAATAATAAAAATTAGACCTTTCTGATTGAGTTCAGGTAACTTTTCAAGACAAAGCCATGTACAAGAAGAAGAGATCTGTGCTTTGAAAGAAACAATTGCACAACTTGATAAAGAGAAGGCATCTCTGCAAGATTATGTGGAAGAAAGAAGAGAGAAGATTGCTACTTTTGAGGAAAGCCTGGCAAATGAAGTACGTTCTAATAAGTAAATAGTCACAAAAGGTAAACAGGGAAAGGATCTGTTGGGTCATCACACCTATGTTATGTTGGTACCTACAACAGTGCTCAGTGCTGATCTAGTTCTGCCCCTTCAGGATAACAGTAAAACTCGTGTTGACTTCAACAGCAGTGGATGTGAGCATTGCTGATTACCTCATTTTAGGTATTTTGTATGGCTTATACTTACCAAGAGAGAAGACTTTAAGTACTGTCCTGAAGTGGGAAAAATTAGCCAATAAAATATTTCATTTGTCATAAAGGTTAACCTGAATTCTTCCTTGGGATCCAGTGACATTAAAGATGCAGGGTGCTAAATAATATTCCCTTTGTTGTCATTGAAGAAACACCTGAATTATATTCTTTTCACCTTAAGTTTATTGCACAGTGTGATTGCAATCTATATAATGAAACTGCTTAGTTATTAGTTCTGAAACATTATTTTTCACTTCAGCTTAAGTGACAGGGATATTGATTTAGGATAAACTAAATAAGGTATTTTTTAACTGTTGTCATTTAACTCAAGAATTTGCATTGATTTTTAACAAAATCTTGAGGAAAAGATATTGCAGGACAGGCTAATATCATCTTGCCATAGGCACTGACTTTGTATTTTTACAATTGTAAATTGTAAAATGGTGTCATTTAGAAAAGAGATGGCTCCCTCTCACCTCTCTTGTTTCTCAAGTGGAAGATATTTTCTAAGCCTACCTAGGCTTCTTTTAGTATCTCTGTGCAAAGACAGGGGGTAAAGTAATATACTTTTTGTTTTATCAATTACAAACTACCAGACTAGGAATTTATTCATTGTAGAAAGCTGTGTTAACTTACCTAATAGGCAGCAGACATCATTTAGTTCTGGGACTGTGAGCAAAGTGCTACATTTAGAAACATAAAGGATAAAAAAAAATAATTAAAATTACGATATTCTGCAGATGATAACAACATTTGTTCCTTTATTTCTCAAATTAAAAAAAAAAAAAAGAAAAGAATTTTCAAATCTAAATAGTACATCATGAAGCTTGGAAAATCACAATCCATTTTGCATTAGATAGTTAAAATAATCAGCTAGATGAATAAGGAGAGATATAAATAATATTGCTTGATTTTTTCTTCCATTTATACTGAGGAGGGGTGAGAGGTTTATTTTAATTCTATATTTCTTTTCCAGGAGAAAATAATTTCAGATTTCAAGATTCTGATTTCTGAGTTGGAGCATTCCACAAAGTAAGAAATATCAATATTATTATCAAATTGTCATTAATTTAAAGCATTAAATGAAAAAATGAATCATAAGATGTACTCATGTAGAATTTTTTTTTACTCAAATGAATATTAAAATGTTACAGCTTTCTTTCCTGACTTGAAAACTTAACCACTGGAAAAGCTGTAATTTGTATTCGATTGGGCAGTATTGTCATACCTGAAGAATTTTTTATTTGCTGCATAGGACATCTGCTGAAGCACTCTCCCTTTATGAGAAGGATATCACCAGTTTGCATCAAGAGGTACAAGAAACCAACAAAGAACTCGCACAGACCAACAAGAACAGAGAATCATTAGCTCAGGAAAATGACAGGTCACAAGAGCATCTTTCTAATATTAAGCAAGAAGTTCAGGTATATTTGTACCAAGAACCCTTGACAGTAAAGAAAAAACAGTTTCTTTTCCAAGTAGTGCAGGGAACTGGTGGTTCCTCATTTGAAGTAAATCTGCAAACTAGCTTTAAATTCGTGTTTCAAACTCTGATTTTTCCCTTATTGCTCAGCTCACTTGTATGAAGAGGACCAGCTATTCTTATGTGATTGTTTGGATATTTATCTTGAGGAACAGCTAATTAATGTGGTTTTTTTCCTGATCCTAAAGTAAAACCAATGTGGCAGCTGTAGCTACCATTTGTATAGAAAAGTACTATAAAGGAAGCAGTGAGTGTTCCTTATACTGTGCTGTGACTGGTCTAGAGTACTTAAAAGCTTAGTACTTTCACCTGCTAATAATTTCACACATTACACATTTTAACAAGGTTCTAGATGTTATTAATATCATTTTATTGATGTGTGTTTCTTTAAAAGTGGCTTTTGGATAAAAGATAATGGTTATAATGCAAACTTACATTGTCTACTGTGTTAATTATCTCTGTGCAGTTCCTAGTCAAAGTAATTAAAATATTTAAGTGCCATCTCGTGCACACACAATACTCCTGCACCAGCAT